GAATCAGTTTTTTGTAGATAGAAATAAAGATTGTCAGTAATTAAATTATCTTTTTCATTTGTAATAAAGTTCTGTTTAATTGTTTTTTGTGTGTGTTTGTTGGGTTGTTTGGGATGGCTTTGAATTTCTATTTATCTGAAAGGTGTATTGTGTATGACATTATTTACTGAGGGGAAGACTCCACATTTTTCTTATGATGAAAAAGTCTAGGAATAGAAATTAGTTTTTGAATTATATTTTATAGTGAATGTAAGATTAAGGAGTTCTGAGTTATGGTGAGACAGACATTTTTACTGTATTATTAAAGTCAACAACATAACTGCTCTATAGATGAATTATGTGATGGAAAGGAGAGGAAACTGCATTATCTTTAAAGTCTTTAATGAGATATCATTCAACATATGTAACTTTAAGCTTATTACCAAAACAGTATACGAAATTAACTTACAAACAGGTCTGTTTTCATAAAATTTTGGAACTAGCCCTTCATCAAGTAGCATCAAATGTCACTAATAAAACTTCAAATACAATAAAACTATAAAAGCTTAAGAGCAAAATCATTTTTTTACATTTTAATTTGAATTAACTTTACTCTAGGAACTGTCAGAAAGTGAATCCAGTGGTAGATCACAAAAAGAGAAAGGAAAAATTGAGAGAAAAATGTATAAAAGTAAGAACAACATATAAAATAGCAAATTGAGTTAAAGCAAGAAATGAAAGTCAAAAAATTAGTGAATGTTGAGCAGTCATGGTTGGTAAGGATAAAAAGTAATACTAAAGAAGGTAGATAGAGCAAGAAGAAACAAAAATAAATACAAAAATTAACTAAACAAAAATGTGGAGTAGAAAATAGTCTGAAAGCAAAATATGGAGAACAAAGGGGAGAAGGATGGGGAAAATATAAACATGAAAAACAAACTTTTATTTAAATAAGTAGGGGAAATGGATCCAAGAATCTGGATGATGTTCTTTTGTGTTCATGTGAGAAATGGTTAATGGAAACATTCCTTAAATTAATTAGTATGAGATGTTAAGGATATTCTTTTCCACCACAGCATTTTTGATTATTTGTGTGAAAAAGTATGTTGTACACAATCAAATCTTTTTAATAAAGTACTTCTACTAAAGATTCGTTTAGAAATTTATTGAGTCAGTCTGCATGAAAGGCGAGTTTCATGATAGGAATAAAAGCACTCACTTTAATTTTAAAGTTTTTACATTTCATTTACATAACCTCTAGAACCTACTAAATGAATATTAAACATTTTTAGTAACACTGTATATTGTATCTGTAGGTTTCTCAACACAAACAGTATACTTTGTAACAATCTAAAATGAACATGCTGCTACAATCAGGGTTCAACCAAAAAAACAATTTATTCACCATAACTACACTTAGAAATAAATTCAACACTTATCAAAACACAGTTAATCAAAAAGTGCCTGGCCAGGACTTCACACCAATAGTAATAAACAACATATCATTAATATTAATAATATCAATATTATTTCAAATAATGGAATCAGGAAAAAGAACAGAAAGAAAAACCAAAAAATACAGCAAATACAATATTCCAAAAATACCTTTCAATATCACTAAAAATATCAAGTGATAAACAGCAACAATTCACTAGCTGTCTCGTAACTCTCTCTCTTAATGAAGCTTCTGGCAGAGTATTTATTTACAGAGTAGGTCATGAGAGTACAATCTCATATGATCATAAATTTACATACTTGTACATTAATAGTATCTGTATGTTACTGCTAGGGAAGCTGGTGTAAGTTTCATCATACACACATATCTACTCAAAATCCAAATGATTAACTAGAAGGTGGGGTAGCATTTTAATGTAACTAAAAATTCTTAAATAAACTAAACACTAAAAGAAAATAATAAATGAATGATAAACACAACCATAATATAAAAAAAATAGAATTTGTTATTTCCCAACTTGACTCCAGAGTTTTCAGAAACATCCTCCAAGTATAATGAAAAGAATGGTTGAGAAACATGAAAAAAAAACTGAGTAATACAGTTCTTTCTTATTGTGAAGTTACAAAGTACTTATATTCACAGTTTAAACTTATATACTTTTATTAAACATGTTTTCTGTTTTGTTTTTAGTTTGCTACAGTGATACGTGACAATAAAGAAATTAATCACAGTGTGAGCTATTATGCTGTTTCTAGCAAACTGTAAAACCTGCTCTGAAAGGCATGCAAACATGCAAAGCTCTTAGTTACATCTCAGTAAAGTAATAGAATAGGCTTGAAGGAAAATTTGCATTACATTAAGGTTTAGCATAGTATAACTAATTTGTGCCAAACTCAGAAGACCAAACCATAGAAGGGAAAATCTAAAATAGACAACTTGGTGCAAATGTTCAGTTGCCAAATTTATAGTTATATGATAAAATTAGCCCACAAAGTATAAAGCTTTATCTAGCAAATCTGTATTTTGTGAAAAACAATGACATTTTAATTACCATACACTAAATATGGATATATATATATTATTACCATTTATGAATAAATGCATAAATTTTAGTCATTTTCATTAAAACATATAACAATAAATAAAAAATGTACCTAAAAAAACAATGATTTCTAGTACTTATGATGTTGCAAAATCCATTTATGCTCAGAAGATGTGCTCGCTAAGCCTCAATTATTCTCAAATTGAGGTGAACATATAATAATTACTGTAAATTTTAAATATACATTTTAGAAATAAAAAAATTATCACTCACTAGAATAAGAAATCATAGAACTATTTTAATTTTCTAGGTAAACAAGGTTAAGAACAATTAATTTTTGTTCAGAGCAATGGTTTAGTAAACACACTTCAACATTTCCTAGCATACTATAGCTTTCCTTGCCAAAAAATTTATAGGTAATTTTCAGATTTGTATGCTTTAGAATGTGCTTTTTCTATCGGTTATAGACATGTACTTAAGACAGGTAGGCATGAGCAAACCAGTGGTTTCAAAACAATAAAGGGATGGGAGAGACTTCTCTGGTAAGTTTGCTACATATATTGATATCTTAACAAATCAAGTTGGGAGGTTCTTATTTAATGTTCTAGTTTGTCAGTATTTGAAGTTTGAGTTTTGATTGGTTAGGCAGAAGTAATAAAATGTAAATTGAACAACTCAAAGGATCATGTGAAATAAAAGAATGAATACTGAGCAATATTTTGTATTATTTTATTTTGAATTAAGAACTTAAATCTTAAATAATATTAAAAGTTGATTTATTATCTATGTTTTGATGCCAAGTTTATTGATATACAATGATAATAAAGTAGTTTAATTAACTTTTGAATGTAACTGTAAAAAAATCATGACATGAGCAATTTGACTCCGATCCATGCACACAGGGTTAAACTGGTTTCCCAAAATCTAAATCATCAAATAAAACTACATAAATTTGGCTAATCAACTTTAACTTTATTTCAACTGCTTCATGAAATCCAGATCATTTGATAAAAACTACACAAGTTATAATACTGAAGGTTAGTCACAGCAGTGAGCTTTAACTCTTTAACTTCCTTTTAATTGGTGTTACTAAATGTGAGCATCATTCATGAAAACTATGCATATTAAACTTTCTAACAATAAATAAATAAATAGTTTTAGATTGGAAACTTTTGCAACATTTGTGAATGTATTGGAAAATTTTCACAAAACAAATGACAGACCATACCATATAATGTCAGAAAGAAATCTTAATAAAACTCCTTACATGTAATGTTTTATTAGAAACCAGATACATACTCAAACTTGTGATCTAAAATCTTACCATTTCGTGTTTCGAGTCCTGGAATCTATAAATGCCATCCCAGCTACAGCCTCATTCAAGTTCTGACCTGTCATTGAGTTATTCTGAAACAAAAAATGTATGCTTGATGATTCTTCTCTTCAGTTTTAGAATAAAATGTGTAAAATATTTCTTTAATGGGATGAAAGTTAATTGACTAGATGTTCCACTTGTCATTTTACAACATAATTTCAAGATTTAATATTATACTCAAAACTTGAAAATTCTTTGAAATAAATCTTAACTGGCTTTTTATTGATTCATAAAATCTAATAACACACTGTTTGAACAATAAAAAAAAATTAACTACCAAATAATATTCCATATAATGTTCTGAATTTAAAATTATCATTCTTTGTACGCCAATATAAATAAAACATTGGTGATTTTAAAAATCATAGATGCAATTGATAGTTCATTCTATTCTACATCTTTACATTGTGGACTGAAATCTCTTAATGTTTGGGCTACTGATCTTATTATTTTGATATTTAGTAATTTTTCCCAGGCTTCTTAATCTCTTAATGTTTGGGCTACTGATCTTATTATTTTGATATTTAGTAATTTTTCCCAGGCTTCTAACAGTCTTTACAAAATAAAATGCCTGATCTTTTTCCAGTACCCATACCTAAGTTTCCAGGACTTCATGGGTCTCACGAGGCAAGAGATTCAAAGTGGCCAATACAAGATATAAACAAATATGATTCCAATAATAAATCTTTTGTTCATTTACTTTTAATTTACTTTTTAATTTAGCCAAGTAGTTTACATGGAATGTGTATGATACTGAAATTTCAGGACTTTTCCAGGACCAAAATTTAAAACTTCATAGACCTGTTTTCTTTAAAACATTTACTGTTTGCTAACTCATAATTTGTTTAAGATTCAATTTCAAAATTCCCTAAACATTTGTTACTGAAACTTTTCTTTATAAATAACACAACCAATTATATTTGATGAAAACAATTTGTCTTGCAACAATTCTTTAAAACAACCATCACATGTCAAAACATACAGTCTATAAATTACTTGTTACTGTCATGAACTAAAGCACTTAATTGTCAGTGATCACTGATCAGGCCACAAAATATACAGATTAAAAGTTTTCAGCTACATAATAGTGATGACTGGAAGGACTCAAAACATATACAGAACAAGTTTTCAGTTATTTGACAGTGATCACTGTTAACATACAAAACATGTACACAGTAGACTTTCAGTTACTTGGTAGTGATAACTGTTAAGACTCAAAATATGTACAGTGCAAATTTTCAGTTACTTGACAGTGATCACTGATAGGATGCAAAGCATGTACACAACAAGCTTTCAGTTACTTGATAATGATGACTGTAAGGACACAAAGCATGTACACAACAAGCTTTCAGTTACTTGATAATGATGACTGTAAGGACACAAAGCATGTACACAACAAGCTTTCAGTTACTTGATAATGATGACTGTAAGGACACAAAGCATGTACACAACAAGCTTTCAGTTACTTGATAATGATGAATGTTAGGATGCAAAACATAGACAACAAAACCTCACTTACATGATAATGATGACTTTTATGACTTAAAGCATGTACACAACAAGGTTTTATTTAGTTGACTGTGACCAAAGTTGTACACTAAAAATAACTAATAAACTTGAACATACTTTATACTAATTATATACAGATACAGAAACAAATAAACTACAAATTTCTTTTTACTTCACAATAATTATTATCACACTGTCACAAAAATGAGTATAATCTATGTGACACTAGTTGAGAGTTTACGAAAAAAAACAATAATAAAACTTAAGTTATTTCTTACCTGCTGTAGCGTGAACAAACTACTCCCCAAACAGTCAAATATTTCCACCACACCATTGCTTTGAGCAAAAGCCAACATAGTACAATCAGGAGACCACAACAACTTCCTCCAATGAGGACACTGATCTTTGGGGACTTGAGTTAAAGAAAAATATTACAATCAGTGACAAAAAAAACTAGACTTTTGTTAAATAGCATTCTTGTAGAAATCTGGTAGTTATAAGGAATGACTAAACATAAATTTAAAATATCCAAAACAAATATATTAGTATAGAGAAATGAAACTAATTTGGAATTGATAAACAGATGAAATTTCAAGTTAAACAGATGTATTTTTAAGCAGCTTAAAAAGGTTTATACCCTCATATGGGCTCTATTTAGAACACTGTATCATGAGTAAATGTGATTTTGAATGACACTAAAAACTTGCACAGAAATTCTACCTGTGCCAGGTATTTTCAAATGTTAATGACTGGAGTGCTGGCTTTTGAGATATATGTATCACTTTTACTTCTAATTCATTGTTTTGACCTAGAAATTACACTGGTACTTAAAGCTCTAAAGATCATTTTCACAAAACATGTGCTGAGAATGCGAGTTGAAAATTGTTGTCATAGATTAAATACGAGTTGTTGTAAAGTAGCTCATCTAGAAAATATCACTTCGATAAAAAAAAATCAATAGATACTCAACTTTTAGAATTCATCCACTACAGTAAAGTTGGAAATGATCCAGTGAGAAAGACAGACAAAACAAAGTAAACTCTCAGCAACAAAAATTTCAACTGTGCAAGTAATGAATATTAATAAATAAATACAAATATTAACTTCTCCAGCAAACAACTAATATATTCCCAACTTTCAGTTTTAAACAAAGGACTAAACTTTGCCCCTATACCATACATAGATTCTAAATTCAACACAACTACTGGAATACAAGTAACATGAAATTAAGTATAAAATTTCCAAGTAGAACTAAAAAAACAAAGACTTACATAACAAAAGATGACACAGACATTTTAATGGACCTTATAAAACAATGGAGCTACAGTTATTGAGGGTATGTCTAGCAATGACAAAGGTCTTATCTCTGATAACACAAACCTATTACAAATGAATAATAATAATAATAAGAGATCCTAATATAGCAACTAAAATAAAATTGAGCAAATTAATGGGTGACCCTGTCTAACTGAGAGAAATTAATTTGGACAGTTGTTCTGACAATGTTACATGACATAAAATTTATGTTTTACTCAAGATCCATAAACTGAATAAATAAATCAATTGCACCAGTTGAAATATTAAAAGTTCTACATACAACACAGCCCAACACACTGGTTTCTTCTTAACTCTTATTTACCATATATTCTCCTGCCTTAATAACTTTCCCGATTTCAAGTTGATGAAGTAGCTGAAAAACTATTAATTAACTGTTATGTCTAGTCTCTTCACTAGAATTCCAAATAAAGATGGCGTCACAGTTACATGAAACAGAGTTGAAAATGACAAGACTTTAGACAAAACAAACACTTTTCTTCCATCACAAAACTTCTAGAAAAATAATAATCTTCTTCATTATTCTATTTTCTTCTACAAACGTCAAATGTTTATAGAAAAATCTAAACAGTCAGTCTACTAGCACATATCTTCTACAATCTAACTATAGATATGACGGAATCTTTACGATCTGGAAACATTCTCTCAATTTCTTGGAAGAGGTATGTGATAATTTAAAAAATCATCATTATTCTATTCAGTTTACAATTAAAATGAAAAATAATAAGCTTTTCTTTCTTGATATTTCAGTAATAAATTATAACTAGTCACAAAAGCATATAAACAACCAGCACTACACAGTGTTAATACATTCTGCATTATCAGTCTTCCACAGTGTTAACACATTGCGTATCATCAGTCTTCCACAGTGTTAACACATTCCGTATCATCAGTCTTCCACAGTGTTAACACATTCTGTATCATCAGTCTTCCACAGTGTTAACACATTCTGTATCATCAGTCTTCCACAGTGTTAAAACATTCCGTATCATCAGTCTTCCACAGTGTTAAAACATTCCGTATCATCAGTCTTCCACAGTGTTAACACATTCTGTATCATCAGTCTTCCACAGTGTTAACATATTCCACATCATCAGTCTTCCACAGTGTTAACACATTCCATATTATCAGTCTTCCACAGTGTTAACACATTCCGTATCATCAGTCTTCCACAGTGTTAACACATTCCGTATCATCAGTCTTCCACAGTGTTAACATATTCCACATCATCAGTCTTCCACAGTGTTAACACATTCTGTATCATCAGTCTTCCACAGTGTTAACACATTCTGTATCATCAGTCTTCCACAGTGTTATCACATTCTGTATCATCAGTCTTCCACAGTATTATCATGCTTTACCTCACCACATCACCAGTCAGAGAAATTTTCATGTTTTTATTACCTTCCTTTCAGTGTTATCACATTTTGTCTCACCAGTCTTCCACAGTGTTATCACATTCTGTATCACCAGTGTTCCACAGTGTTATCACATTCTGTATCACCAGTGTTCCACAGTGTTATCACATTCTGTATCACCAGTGTTCCACAGTGTTATCACATTCTGTATCATCAGTCTTCCACAGTATTATCATGCTTTACCTCACCACATCACCAGTCAGAGAAATTTTCATGTTTTTATCACCAGCCTTTCAGTGTTATCACATTCTGTCTCACCAGCCTTCCACAGTGTTATCACATTTTGAATCACCAGTCTTCCACAGTTTTATCACATTTTGTATCATCAGTCTTCCACAGTGTTTTCACATTTTGAATCACCAGTCTTTCACAGTGTTATCATGTTTAACCACATCACCAGTCAGACAAATTTTCATGTTTTGTCTCACCAGTCTTTCAGTATTATCACATTTTGTCTCACCAGCTTTCCACAGTGTTATTACATTTTGTCTAATCAGTCTTCCAAAAAGTGATATCACATTTTGTTTCACCAGCCTTCTACAAAGCAAGATAAAGTTTTGTCTTCATCTCTGTGGTCCTGAGTTTTGGAGACAGAATACATTATAATCATCAGTGTAGCTGCAATGTAGCCAACTGATGCCCTAGTCTCACTCATATTGGGCAACCATTCTGATGAAAATAATCATTATGTTTGATGGCATGTCCTGAAAATATATTTCCTATAGATACTCACCTCTTCACATAGTTAAGCTATCTTCCTCAGCTCTTCTCCACATTCTGCCAAATAAATTTTCATGCCACTATCCTTGTGAACACTCCCACCCAATTTCATGCAATTCCAAATGAACTTGTATTTCTGCATGATAACATCATTGTGTAGCAAAAGCCCTACACCAATAACTCCTTAGAAATGGTGAGGATGGGTGGGAATGTACGAAAAGATATCTATCAGAAATACATTTTCAGGTAAGAAAACTGTTAACTTCCAAAACATATACTCACCTCTGCAAATAGTTTAGCTAGAATCCTAGTTATGATGGTGAAGAGAAGGTTACCATGGTGAGTCCCCTTCAGAAAGTGTCCTAAGGAGGCCCATGTGGTGTGACACCTGATAACAAGGACTCCATGGGGGTGCACCCATGGGAGACCACATCTTTTCTCATCGAGGGTATAGTCATCAACTGCATAGGAAAGAAAAGAGGCAAATAAGCCAGATCTGTGTTGCTTGGATGGGTGGAATTGATACATGGCTGTCCAAGTACTTACACACAAGATGTACAACAGCCAATATGTGTAGTGAGGTTGGGACTCTTTCAGACTACACCTTGGGTGCTCAAATCCTCTACCATCAGACTCAACAGGTCAAATCCAGCTGTACGAAAACTTATAATAAATATCCATGCTCACCTCCTCTATCGTTAGTTTTTATGGACCTCATGCCATCTGCAGGAGGAGAGCACTGTATTGTTACGGTATGGATACGTTTATACACCTTTACGTGACCATTAGTCTCTATGGGCCCTTTGCCAGCTGTAGGAGTAGGGTATGTTTGAGATGTAGTAGAGACTGGTAATAGTGTTCACCTCGACTACTGAACAGACACTGGCTGCAGGAGGAGGACTTGTGAGATACAGATGTTGAATGGAATGGTATAGTAAGTTGTATCATCAGTCTATATGTAGTTAGAGATGTGTGATGTATCACAGATAGATGTGGGTGGACCAGCACTACACACTTTGTGTCACTATTGCTCCACTTCCCACTGTAATGGGAACCCTTGTTCTAACCCCAACAGGTAAGTCCCAATCAGTAAGGATTCTAAATGATCCACAAACCTGGCAGCTAGGAACTAGTAAGAGGCAAGGGTATCCTATACTTCACTCAATGAGGAGGGAAGAATTCACATAGGGGAGATCCAAAGAATGTACCTGTATCTTCATTGGCTTTTCAGTCAGGAAAAATCTTTTACTGGAGAAAGAGCAATGCCAGTTATGAACACCCAGCAAGTAAGAGCCAGAGAAGTGGGTAGAAACACCACTCTGGTTCTGGCTTTTTTCATGATAGTTCATGGAATAGGTATTGTCTGGATTGGCCAAGGAATGTGATATTGATAGAAATATATATATATATAATATATATATATACCACGAAGAAATCTCTAGTGGTCTTGCAGAGCACTCCATCTCACAGTGGGCACATGTAGGATCAGGGTTGATGGTATAAGTATTTTCCATTACACTAACTTGATGCAGATATTGGGTAACTATACCTGGGAGACAAGTGGGATCTTACTGAATGAAAAGGGGTCCTGAAAGGGAAATGGTGCACATTCTACTCAAAGATGGTGAGGAATGGGAGAATGGCAATCTGTGGAAGCCAAAAGCCATCAGGGGATAAAACAGCTAGAAGGTATAGAGATGGAAGATGGAGATGGATGTGTGAAGATAGCCCACATGCTCACCTGGAAAAGCTCATCCAATGGCTGGTGAAGAAGTGGTAGAAAAGAATAAAAAGGGTGACAAATAGAACACACAGGCATTCACATCCCAAAATAACATGGAAAAACTGGATGGTCTCCAAAAAGGAAAGATCAAAAAGTGTAAAATCCAGTGACCAGATTAGCCATAGTTTGCGGGCAAAGAAGATAAGCTGAACTTAG